TTTTCTTTCTTTTTCTCTCTCTCTTCCCCCATCTCTTTCTCTCTCTCTCTATTTCTCTCTCTCTCTCTCACTCTCTCTCTCTTCCCTCTCTCTCTCTCTCTCTCTCTCTCTCTCCCCCCCCCCCCCTCTCTCTCTCTCTTTACTTTTGATTTCAATCACAAAGTGATATTTAGCTCTCCTTGTTGGTCAACTTTCTATCTTTTCTCTTGCTTCGGCATGTGTAAACTCCATCATCTAGAAGTTTGTTGGTGTCTAATTCAATTTTTATTTTCTCTGAATCGTATGTCTTCGGGTTCATATTTTCTTTAATTTTTGGTTACCATGGGAAAAGAATAATATCTTCTTAATCTTCTTCATGCTATCTTGTTTCGGTTACATTATTCTTTAACGTGATCGAAATCCGGGTCACAAAACCACCGGATTCATGATTTATGAAATATTTGCAATTAAAAGATAATCAGATATTAAATAATTGTTTTCCCTTTCCGTGATACTAAGGAGAAATCCTGTTCATTTATCATTAATCAAGAAGCGAAACTCTCTTCTTTAAATGCTACGAGCTACCAAATTTATAATTCGCGTATGCTATACATGTATTAGTTATTTCTAGAACCATTGTGTAGTGTGTAGGAATTCATCATCCACGACACAAAAATGCAGACAAATACAATTAAAATAAAAATGATAAATAAAGGCAATTTCTAAACTATTTCAATCTTTGGCAAACCCGTTTGATATAATTTACCATTCAAGAAAAGTGAATTACTATACCATTATGAAAACACCAAATAGTCAATATGTTGTCATATAACTATATCTCAACGATTCTACTAACAGCATTATAATATATCGAGCAATTTACAAGCTTCTGTTCATCTGCATGAGCTATGTTCCACCCAAGGTTGCTTTTCCAGTTTAAACAAAAACAAAAACAAAAAAACAAAAAAATAATTTCTACGCGGCAAACCGACAAATTTTTAAATTAATATTTAAATATTCTTCCGGCAGAAGTCACGCGAAAATTTCGTCATGCGGTTTGAACAGCACATCGTTTATGGAGGGGAATAATAGTTGTGAAGATAACGAAAACAAAAGGAGATAAAAATGCCTTTGTTTCAACTCTATTGGTTTTGTTTAATTGTATGATGTTATTGACCTTTTCGAAATTAGATTACGTCATATCTAAAGGTTTACCAATACTATACCAACTTACTTTTGGAGAACCCAAAAGCTAATACGGCATGTACTAGACGGGTAAAGGGGAGGGGGTGAAACGGCCAGGCTCTGCACCCCTCCCCTCCCCTGAGAATTTTTAAACTACCACTATTTGGACATTTATCCCATGATGTCAACCAGATGGTTGTTCAGGTTCATGCTTTGTTATGCTGTGTCATGTTCAGGTTGTGTATGTGTTCCCCTTTTGTTTTGTTGTGTTTTGTTCTAGACTCGTATGCCTACAAGTAAATAACGCGACATTATTAAATTGTTTTAATTTTTTTCTTCAAAATTTTCCATAATTTAATGCATTTGCAATTCACTAATTTGTTATATTTTACTATTCTATGCTATTTATTTTTGTAAAATCACATAGATCTTAATTTTTCAAATCCCTTTTCCCAGCATCCATGTGACTTCAAATCTTACTGTTGTAAGTTTTTATCTTGATTTTGTCTTTGACGAATAAAATAATGATAATAATATTAACAATAATGCTCTTTTCGTATTTCCTATGTCGTATGTTTGATTGGAGATATTCCATTCCAGATTATTGACGGATTGTTTATATCGTTTAATGGGTCAATGCTGTCATATATAGTATCAAAATGCAGAAACTGGAAATTTTATATTCATAGCCGGTTGAAACTCTTGAAGTATACTGTCCTATGCATATAATAAATGAACATTAATTTCGTGGTCTGATCTCTGCCATGACATGATATTCAGGTGGTATCAAAATGGATTGTGTTCGTACAACAACGTATGTAGAATTTTGTCTCCTTGGTACAACCAATGAGTTAGAATTTCGGTCTAACTCCTTGGTACATACAACAGATCGAGGGCATAGGCTAGTTATTCTCCAACGTGTCTAAAGAGGGCGTATTACTGAAAAGTCCAACACTCATTGAGCTGGCATATTTATATTTAAAACAAAATATGGAATCCTAATATCAAAGTTAAGCATTACATTATGATTGATTAGTTATGTTCTGTTCTACGTGACTCGAAATTGAGTATAAAGGACAAATCACTATGTAAATGTTTAGGTAATTGCGTCAAATCCCATTTGACATTCTAGTAGCTAGAAATTAGTCTTCATGTGTGTGTGTGTATGTATTGTAGTTTCCATGAATATAGTAAGCATAGCATACTTTTATTGGTTTTATTTAATCCAACAGGACAGATATATATTGGGGTCATGGCCATGAGGATAACCTCTACTATAAAAGTTTTCTATGAAAATGCTTTATTTCCAGGGATACAGACGGCTCCTATACTTATCGAAGACTTTTCCTTTTTATAAAAAGAAAAATGTTATTAAGAAAGAAACCTGGTGAAGGGTTTTGGCAAGAAAATGCAAGTGCGCAATATTATTGACCACAAAAACGCAATTCCTCAAAGACATTATTTATATTTCCGTTCTTAATTGAGTTGAAACGATGAACCTAGAAAGAGTAGGTCGCTTGCTGGAACCGAGTATTCCTCGTAATCGCTTCTGAGTAAAAAAAAATAAATAAAAAAATAAAAAAAAACATTTAGATCTATTGTTATTTTTCTTGAATCCCTGTTGTGGTAATGTCTTAAGTGATTTCAAGAAAATGATTTTAGGAATAATCATGGGAGAGTTTAATCGTTGAAGTATAGTCAAGTTGGTACACTTTGTTAAATAATTTTTAAAAATCATCTGATTTTACGCGAATATCAATAGATATACGTAGTATATTCCATATTTCAAGCTCTTTGGCTCGGTACATGCGATACTCTTTCCATACATCCGAATATATTTAAAGTTTAAAACTTTCAAAAAAATCATAGCTTTCTTATATCTTGGTCAGATTTAATTGAGATTTTCATCAGTTTACTTCACTTATTTTTCTGTTGATCATGTAGCATGTAAGTATTGGTGTATACTGCAAAGTTCTGGAGTCATCAAAATCATAATAAATTTGGCCCAGTCTTGGTAAAGTAACAAGCACTGTACACAGAAAGATGTATATGGGACTTCACAAATGGTGTCGGGGCTAGTAGTACTAGTACTAACCTTGATTTCCTAATCTTTCGTACGAACCTTTGTGACCGCTCCATTGCTGGTATTCATCCAAAGTATGCATACGCCTTTTTGAAGTGCCTCGATACGAGCTACTTGATTCACCTGTTATAATTGAGTGTATCTCAATAGTTAGATTGCAAATTACATAAATCAGTTATTGCTGTATACTGTAGAACAAAAAATACAGCTTTTCCTATTCGTCGCTGGAGCATGTGTCGTGCAACCAATGACGTAAGTTATCAGACGGATCCATGTCAGTGAAAAACGCAAGTGGGACCGTTGGCACGTAATTAAATGCCTTGTTACGGGTCCCCTGAATGTGTCCTATTCATTAGATGCCCATGTCTCATATGTATGCCTCCACATCACGGACTGATCACGTGTCCGTCATGGCCTTTATCTTAAAAGATTCATTACATAATTTGCTTAACTCTGCTCTTGAACGTATTGCAACCTGATTCACGTTTTTATGTAATTTTTGAAACATAACTTCTGCCGAAATGTTTACACCCTTTATAGCGTTTTGATGGGGTTTTTGCAATGAAGAGGCGCGAATAGATTGCATATCGTTCGTAAGAAGTAAACAAAAACCTAAAGAGAGGTTACCTGCTGTTGATTTATTATTTTCCGAAAAAGGGAATTTCTTCTAAACTAGAAGCATCCCATGCAAACTTGCAGCTTTTATGGTAAGGTATTGAAGTTATTGAATTCCTGATGAATATCTTAAAACATTACTCAGATAGAGCCAGATTTTTCTATATTTTTGGGGTGTGTGTGGAAGGAACAAAAATTGGGACCTGTAAAAAAAATACAAAACGAGTTGGCCCAAACGAGACCAGAAAGAGGAATGTCCATAACTGCCTTCCGCTTCATAATGAATTTTGAGTAAAATTATGGTTCGCCCTCTCTCGTCGGTAAACGGACACAGAGCGATGTAAACCTGTTATGGAAAAATGCCCCCCCCCCCCCCCCACTTCCCTTTCTTCCTATCGACATTAACATGTATCGTAGAGGCAAATGCAACATTCTGAAGACAGGATTCGGTGACCATGGCGACCGCTTTATAGTGCCTTACCACTGTACGAACTCATGAAAGGTCTTTTTTTTTAGAACTTAAAAGCCGATTATTACGTCAAGATGTGGAATCTTGTAGATGTTAGATGTTAATAATGCAATATATTTAATTTTATCTTCCATCACATTTTCATTCTCACTCCCTCTCTCTCTCTCTCTCTCTCTCTCTCTCCCTCTCTCTCTCTCTCTCTCTCTCTCTCTCACTGTATTTCTCTCTTGCTCTCGCTCTTTTTTTCTCTCTCTCTTAGAGTCAGTCTCCTTCATCTTTTTAATCTCCTTGTGTTCCGAATTTTAAATTCTGACACTCTCTTGCTTTTTTCCTTTACCCCTTCGTTACAATAATTTTGTCTAAGAATCGGTTGTGTAAATCATTCATATATTAATAGTATATTTTCACCCTCTTCACTTACCACCTCTCCCTATCTCTTCATCTCTCTCTCTCTCTCTCTCTGTCTCTCTTTCTCCGTCTCTTCCTCCCCAACCTCTCTTTCCATCTCATCTTTTTAGTTTTTACCATCTCCGAATAAGGCCAAATAACAACAATGAAGTATTTCTCGTATTCGGCCGCCTCCTTTTTGACCGCTGCCTCCTTTTTGTTTTACTATTAACTATTCAGAAGAAGAAAAACAAATCAATAAAAGCCACAAACACAAAAAAGCCTGTGATATACATTTTGTTTAAATAGCTTCTAAAGTGATACAAATCATTTGTTGTCATAAATCGCATAAGTATACTCATATAGCACAATACCTGTGAATAAATAGGCTTATTAGTAGCATAGCAGCCATCTTGGAAAAGAATTGCAAAAAAAAAAAGCAAAATAGTAAATAGTAAATGTCCTGCCTCCTCCTTTAAAAAAAAAATACAGACAAGAAACACGTATTTTTGTTATTGGCCTAAAGCTATATTACATGTAGCTATTAATTAAATCACAACATTTCTTTAATATATTTGCATTGTGTAAAAACATTTACACACTAGGACATGATCATACCATATTCGTGATGACAAAGGAAAGTATTTTGTTATGTGGAAGCTATCGGGGCTAAGAAGAAGACAAAAAACTGAAGGAATAAAGGAAGTGAAATAGAAGAAAGAGTTCGCTGTAATATTCTAGCGATCTACTGTATTCTCATCTATTTATAACGTAGGGAGGGTAATGAATTATCCATAAAGGGAACACGGGTCCCAAACGCTTCTTTCTTTTATTTTGTCTGCATGTCGGCTATATCACATATCACATGTCGAACTTGTTTTCATTACCTAATGTACGTCATTCTCCTGTTCACTTACAATGTGTAATGCGTCCCTTTACATTAACTTAATTTCCTTTCAATGCCAAAATAAGACTGTCGTGTCTTAAGACTTGCCATAAATGTCAAATATAAGTATTTGCAATACTCGTGAAAATTTAAGGAACTAAAGTCAATTTGTGAGTTGAAACTTTATATTTCTTTGATTAAAAATGCAAAGTTTTGGGAAATTTTGAAAATGAATGGATAGTAATTCTTTAAAATTGTGATATATTTGGATACCCCTGTGGATAAATTATAAGCACTAGAAAATAATTTTCAAATAAAACTTTGTATTACCGTTAACTTATCATACGTTGGTTTCGTGGAAAAACGACTATTGAATTTGTACATATACATGTATATCAATTATATATGTAGAGAGACAGAATGATTAGTATACTATAAGATACATACCCCAACTTCATAACATTTTATTGAAAGGAAGACGGTAGTATATTTTAATTCCAGAAATAGCGTTGAAAAAATTTTGTCGTTGTTTCGTAGGGAAAATATCAGTAGAGTCTAACAAAAAATTGCTAATATAATATCATGAAGGAAATTATGTAATCGTTACCCCTATGAGCGGTCAAAATCCGTTGATATTCAACTTAATTAGATATTTTCAGCATTCCCCGCATCACTGCAGGTTTTAATGAGATGTAGGACATAATATCAGAATTGGGATTTGATGTCCATATTTCACATTTGCACTTCGCAAATAAAAGTGTACATTTGGATTATCCCATTTTGAATAAAAATGTGTCTCTGTTTGAAATAAAATAGGTAAACGAAGTACAACCATCGTCTTGAATATATAAACAAGATAAAACTAACAGTCAACAAGACATGAATAAATCTCTAGGGATTGTTTTTAATACTATAGAACCTAACGGTATCCTGAGGCTTCACTATTAAAAATGGACCGTCAATGTCAGCAGATAAAACAGAAATTGTCAGGCTCCCTCTAGCGCTACTATCAATCATCTTTTTCTTGTACCTGTTTACGAATCTTTTTATAGCATGACAGCAATTTAGTACGAAAACAAAATCATCGTAGGCCCTCAAGTGCTTATCTTCTGCTTTCGGTTTGATGAGACGATCTGCGTCTCAGATATTCTATAAATGAGAGGGGAAAAAAGAATATACACTTTTCCACTTCACAGTGGCGTAGCGTATTGAAGGGAGCGCAGACATCACGGGAGGGGGTGCATCGATGTTATCATGATGATTAAATGAGAGTTAACGAGACCGCCGAGTGGATGGAGGATATGGGAGGTGGTCCTACAGTCAGTCTACTTTCACGACCCTCTTCCCCTCTCCTTTGACAGCCTTCGTTTTGTTTCACCATGCCCCGTTCCTACGCAACTGTTCCTCCCATAAATATCTTCTGTCAATATTAAATCACCATAATCATGGTTTCACTATCACCAAATTATATATAAGTATATATTGCAATCCCATTTTCAACTAAGGGAAGGCAGTTCTAGCGCTAATCACTCATACTGTGTGGCATAACAAATATTTATATATAATTTTTTTTAATGTAAAAGCTAAGCTAAATTGAAAGTTGGAATGTCAGGGAGGGGTACTGTCTGTACTGACCAGAGTTTATACATTTGCAAAATTATTCTAGAAATGAGTTCTCCTGTTCTGTGATACTTTGCATACCGCGCCAATCAATACACCAACGAACGCTAAAATCCAGCAGATACAGAGAATATTGCAATCGCTATGTTGCCGTGTTCTTCTTTTGATTTGAACCGGCGAAGATCTTTGCAATTTCTTTGGAAGCTCTGGTAATTTAGGCGGCTTTGAGTCACACTGGCAGAGTTGTTGATTCGGTTGATTTTGAAAGACAAAGCAATGTTTTCCCGAAAGGGGACGCACTGGGAAGGATGTCCGTTTTCCCCCATCCGGGGACTTCGTTGTTGCAGGTATTGTTACAGGTACTGTGCCACCTCCCCCACCATTGTCCTCATTGTCAGTTTCATTCTCCTCGTCGCTCTCATCATTATCGATATCATCATCTCCTTCTCCATCGTCATCGTCATCATCGCTGTTGCCTCCAACATGAACATTGGTTCTCATAGTTGTTCTATACGGTGTCACATTTTCTGAAGAGGTGAAACTGACAGAAACAGTACTACTTTGTCCCGTCTTCATATCAGTATCGGGGATACTAGCGCCATCTACGTTGAAACTGTTTTCCGACTCGCCCTCCTCCGATTCCTCCTGCGCTGTCCCTCCGGGCATGTCATAATATCCTGGGGAGACGTTTGGAAACAAATGGAGAAGACAATGTAACTTTTTCTTTGACGAAGTTTGTGACAAAAAAACTACCTTGGCCAATGAAAGTCAGTGAGAAAACATCGCCATGTTCTGTCATTTCCTAACAGTGCTTTGATCGTGCCAAGGGTGAGATTGATAGAGAATCATATTTTTATTGATAGGAAATTAGATTGATTATTTCTTATAACATAATTAGTTTTGATTGGAAGGTAGTTCAAGGCTAGCACCTGCTGCTGAGTAGTTATAATGGTGCTAGGAGCATCGAGGCTTCATGCATATTGGTTTATCTTTTTTTACTCATCATGTCCTCCTTTGTCACACATTTGTTTATTCTTTTGTATTATTTAATGTACATTATTTTGTATTTACATGTTTTGATCTATTACTGAAATGTGGAAAAATAAATGAAATGAAATGAAAATGTGACAAGTTTCCCAATTCGAATAAAAATGCTGTGAATTTATAGACCATTGTTTTTAAGATGTGATCATCGACAGAGCGAAATCATTTGGTTAGCGGAATTACAAATGTAGGCCTACATGTACATGTTTGTGGAAAAGGAAATAATGATACCAGAGTCAAAACCAAGTGTCCTAAACTATTTCGCTTTACAATTCGACGAAAGGTGATTTGTGTCTGTTGCATTCATACACCAAGTAAATTGGCGCATGTTAGTCCCTTTAATTTTCAAGTTGCCATATCCGATAAAAGTGGGAGGGGCAAATTCACATTGTCAAAAGACATCTTTCTTGAGATGAATTCTGCATCATGAATATTTTAAGAATTACGATTCACATGCGTGACATTATTGTGAGGCGGGATAGCTCAGTTGGTAGAGTAGTGTCATGGTCTCGTAATCCGGTGACCCGGGTTCGAAACCAAGGCGATGCGCTATATAGTGCCCTTTGGTAAGGCATTAATCCTCATTACCAGGTCTCTCGGAGAGGACCTAAAGCCGTCGGTCCTCTGTTTTCTTACTAGCACGCATTTATGCTTTCTTAGCAGTCATGTAAAATAACCACCACTGCACACATTTGTCACTAATATGATTTGTTTTTAATATTACCTGTTGAACCTTGATTGTACCATGTCACAACGGTGAGAATATTTTTGTCCTCTTCACTCGATTCTTCACTGCTACTGGTGTCGGCTGCGGAAATAAAGAGATTGGAAATCATATTCACCTTTTCAGCACATTAATTGACATCCAAAATGAAAGGGGGGAGTTGACAAGTTGTTGCGGTTGTTGGATTTGAAATGATTCAATTTTAGAGAGGGGGGTCTGTCCACTTGTTTCTGTTTATCGACTCCATTACCCATGCCATCAATGTATCATCAGCAGATGGCATCCGATAGGCTTATTGTACATACCTTTCAATTAATCAGGATTATGGTCAGTACGCGTGACCTTTTGATAACAAATACAAAGGAAAATTGATATTAAGTAATATGAGCCGAGAAACGGGTATGCTTGATCAGATTATATATTAAATTTGACAAGATATTATGAAATGAGATGGGTTTGAATTCATTCTTACTTGATTAAATTTCACATCTAGCATGTATTTATCAAAAGTATTGCATCTTTCATTTTAATAAAGAACTTTATCAAATTTGCACATACAGTGTACCTGATGTATATAGAACTTTCTACTGCAGTGCGTATCCTAGTTGAATTGGGTGTGCTCATGAGGAGGGATCATGTTTCCCTTTATCGAGTGCACTAAGATTACTGGAGACAGACAGTCATTTATTAATGGGTTGGTTTGATCCTCAAGTAGCTTTTCGACGATGTATTGGATAATGGATGAGCGTTACTCCCTGATAAAAACAATTTATCTCGTTTGGGTTGACTCAACTCGACGTTGCTATTTCAACTTGGTGCCACAAGTTTGTTTTTTGTGACTAAGAATATGTTTGAAAGGAACATCCCATATAACGGAAAACCCTGAATCATAAAACCAATTACACAAATCCTATATACCTACATACTCACGTGTACATTAAATGTACCACCTTCACTCGCCTATATAAATTGAAATCTTATTCAGTGAGAATTGTTTTCTTAAAATGTTAACAAAAAAAGAAGGATATTAAGAAGATCAGTCTTGAGTTACTCAAAAAGCTTTTTACAAAAGTTTTAAACTTTATGAAATAATCTTAAAAACAGTATTTTATGGTGTGCTCGTGATGATAATGCTTTGCCTTTGATTAAAAAAGATAAGTCATATTGTATTCCACATAATCTTTCCAAAAATTCTGTAGGACATGTTTGAGAAAATACTATCACCAAAAAAATTGTTTAACGACAAACTGCAACTAACTAAACATACACAAGGGAAAGGAATCGATCTCTAAATGAGACAAGGTGCACATTTCTTTCAATTATCAAGTGGAATCGACCAATGCTAGGGGGAAAAATTGAGAGAGCGAGCCAAGGATTTGACATTCACGTCTAGTGCATGTGCAATCAAATCAAACTACCAAGGTTTTTTCAACTTTTGTTCACAAAGCTAATTTAAAAATCTTACCTTGAAGTTCAGTAATTAGAAGCAGTAGATTGTAACAAATGGCAACGATGAGCGTGATAGCTCCATTAGTTGATGATGAGACCTTCATCATGTGTTTGTCTCCAGAACTTGGATTGAGAAAGGTGCAAAGCTAATGCATCCAGTCATCATAGGTCATTATCACAGGTCATGGTACGGTGGCTGCTTTGAAGGTGAGGGCGACAGGTAACAGTTTCAGACGGTTCTGGCAAGAGTTATGAAGTGAAACTGAGAGACGAGAGCTCATCAAACATTGGCTACCTTCACGATGAATCAATCACCAATCGAAAGTTACTTCCTCTCAACCTGGAAATAGAGAAACATGAGCATGATCATGATGATAAAAAAGAAATGTTTTCATCTGAGGACAAATCCTACATGCTAGCTCGGTTTTACGCAATCGGACACACATGCGGTCGGCAGAACATAAAAATGGAAACATGCCATTTCATTGTGGCGATCTTTATCAAGATTATGGAGGAAGAGGACGTATATCCCCCACATGGTATATATATCAAGAATTAGATGTTGTGGGTATGTTCTGAATGGTACAAACTGATGAAACATCCCGGATAACGACAATTCAGGCTTGTCTGTACTGAATTTGCATAATGTGAAAAATAATAATGGTCAGTGTGAATATTTCACCTCTTGCTTTGTTAACACTTCAAGACAATGCACTTTTTAGAAAAAAGGGTGTATATTGTCTAAAACCGGACTGTGGATCACAAGGTTCGCGGTTCGAGTCCTGCCGTGACACTACTTGTCCTTTGGCAAGACATTAATCTTCATTTGCCACTCTCCACCCATGTGAAGTAAAATGGGAAGCCGTTAGGAAGAAAATCATTGAATGCTTTAGCGCCTTATTATTGCACCTCAGCTACAGCCGGGGTATTATGCGCAGTATAGTAAATTCATATACATGTGTAGTAGCTGCGGTATATAAATTGACCTATTTTTTTAATAATTATTGTCTTGTTTTCAGTGATATCTCAGAAATTGAAAATAATGACCGAAAATCAGATGAATTTATTGTGATGTAATAAAGAAATATTACACCAAAAGAAACCCAGCGCACATAAAGGCCAAATATCTTTACTATCTCCCTCTTTTCTTCTTCACCCCCCCCCCCCCCCGCAGCATTCATCTTGTTTGATTGAAAAGTCCCATAGAACTTCTTTCTTTCTTACCCCGCCTTCTTCCTTTAATGTAAATCAGTCTAATATGCCAACATTTCATACAATATCACAACTCGAAACGGGGAGGAGACGAATTTCATGAACATGAACAAGTCAATAATTAATTTATTTTTTTCTAAAGTTTACAGAATTCACGAAGATTGGGTGAGTGGGCGTACAGTCTTGCCATTTAATTAACAAGCTAAATGCATGGGGATCTTGTTTAGTTGTAAGTTAACGAAAAAGAGAGAGAAAGAGAGAGAGAGAGAGAGAGAAATCAGCCGACTGTCACAATTATTTGCGATTGATAATCATACATGCACTCGATTAGGCCTCGTTATTATCCCCCACTTTAACCAAAAAGTATTATACATTATTTTTAAATACTACTTTCAAGCCAACTAGGGGCCAATATAATGATTTGTTTTTTAAAACAAGAAGCGTTATGCTTTCTAAATAATGTGCATATTCATCGGAGAAGGGTGAATGGCCATCTGGCTCATGTCGTGATGTTCATTATGAATTGATTGAATGGAATGTCTTACCCCCTCCCGCCATAAATAGAGCAGAAATTAAATTTCTTCGTATTTTTTTATCTTCTAATGATACTTGATTACAAGTTTTTGCAAATCAACATGCTTTGTAATGAAGCAGACAAGTCACAGCGGTTTCATAAGCTTCTTTTGAAAATTGTTTTTTATCATGACAATTGTGTAAATACGGGATAACTTTTATATTAGGCAAACTTTGTCTGCCAATCACCCCCCCCCCCCGCAACATTATATTTTAGGGGCGATTTCGCCAGGCTGCTGTGTTTTCTTGCCCCGCAATAGATTTTCCCGTTTTTATTAAAAAAATAAGAAATAAAAATCCAATCAATGTCAGCATTTCCTACCTGAACAAGATATGACGGTTGCTCTACGGTTAGTAATTTCGGCTACAGCCCCTAGCACCCCCCCCCCCGCCCCATACACATATGCTTTGCAATATATGTACTCGTATTAAGTATGTGGGGGCGACGCCCGTTTGCATGTTTTTCAATTACTGAAAATGAGTTATTTATTTTATGTTGTAGAAACGTGACGAAAGCCATTGTCAAAAGCATTTAATCACAATTAATATATACATGTTATGTACAAGAAAACAAAGAATGTGATTATGCAGGAGTTGTGAATTGTGGCCTATGTTCCATGTTAATCCATGTCATCATCAATCTGCTGAATACCGAAGAATGTGTAATCAGCAAGGAGGCGTTTGTGGCTTTTTCCACTTTGAGACTTCATCAGTTCGTAGAGGCTGAACTTACTCAATGCTCAATATTAACAAAATAGTTACAATTGCTCTTGATAAGTAATTTTCTTATTTGCTCCCTTCTAGAAAAGGAATTAAATGATATATTTCAAAATTCTGAATACTTGGAAAAAGTCTTTCAGCATTCTGTACGCAAAACGTGACTTACGACTACTGTATGTACGCCAATAGAATTATGTATGCATGGACTTGACCTACCGTTATGTTTCTTATGAAACGGGAAATTGTGGAAAACAGCTCATTTGGTTGTCATGTCGACTGCAATTTCATTCAAACACGTGCCCACGCATATATATTGTGATGTCACCAGAAGCTGGTTTGCGGCTATATCTCACGCATCTCTTATGATTGTATACCGCCCATAACGCATGACCCGGATATAGTGGTAATCTTGACTGTTGACGGATGACTGACTGACTCGCTTTCAGATCACGATAGGTCAGAGTGGTCAGGGATGCTTCACAAAATGATATCATACTGGTCACTTGTGTGGATTTATTTTGGCAGAAAGGAAAAAGAACACGGACAAGAGAAACAAGAACAAGAAAAAGAACAAGACAGGACAAAGAAGTAGAAGAAGAAGAAATGCAAAATAAGGAGGGGAAGAAGATGAAGACGAAGATCAGTGATATAAGTACTATTCCTGGTAGTAGTGGTAGTAGTAGTAGTAGTAGTAGTAGTATTAGTAGTAGTAGTAGTAGTAGTAGTAGTAGTAGTAGTAGTAGTAGTAGTAGTAGTAGTAGTTGTAGTAGTAGTAGTAGTAGTAGTAGTAGTAGTAGTAGTAGTAGTAGTAGTAGTGGTAGTGGTAGTAGTAGTAGTAGTAGTAGTAGTAGTAGTAGTAGTGGTAGTGGTAGTGGTAGTAGTAGTAGTAGTGGTAGTAGTAGTAGTAGTAGTAGTAGTAGTAGTAGTAGTAGTAGTAGTATTAGTAGTAGTAGTAGTAGTAGTAGTAGTAGTAGTAGTAGTAGTAGTATTAGTAGTAGTAGTAGTAGTAGTAGTAGTAGTAGTATTAGTAGTAGTAGTAGTAGTAGTAGTAGTAGTGGTAGTGGTATTGCAGAGGGCAATATTGATTAATCAGATAGACCCCCTTACTTGGACATAACTTGGAATAATCTCAAATCTCATTAGGTTTATTGAAAAACATGTTGAAGATACTATGTCCCTTTTGCAGCCAACCTCAAATTCTGTAGAACTTTGCAGGAATTATGTATATGTCATGTATGTCCTATCTGTGAATTTAAACGTTAGCAGTGTCCTTATATTCAAATTATGCAAGGAAATTCGTTTACTTGCCAGACTTCACTGTCAGACACTATCGAGTGACTGACTGGCTTTTTTCTTCTTTGGTAATAACATACATAAAATGAGCTGTGAAGGGTACATGAGCATATACATCAATAACCCACTTTTTGTAATGGCTAAAATTAAACTGATTGCACAAAACGTACGACCATTCGGTAAAATGGTCTGAAAATCGGACTATTACTTATTGACTTGGTAGCACTTAAGTTGATTCGACAACTAATAGTGATTATTATCTCAATCAAAGATATTTCAAGCCCCCCTCCCCCTTTATTTTTTTTGTTAGGGAAGTTCTAAATTAGTATTATCTTTCAAATTCCGTTGGAATTTAACCTTTTCATTTTTTGGCCTGCAAATTCGACATAGGCCTACATGTAGTACCTGTAAGAGCCCAGTTGGAATTATAGAAGTAGGTCGCCCTAATGCATGCGTTCTTGGCAAGGATGAAGACAAAATGAGAAAAGGAAGATGAAAGATGAAATAGAGCAAGAAATGTGACGGAAAGCTGAAACATTAATGTAGAGATATGGACTGAGAAATAGAAAATAACAGGACCGCCTTTGATACTACTTTTCTATAAATGGGTAATGTAGATGGCATGAGAAGTTCACGCGAACATAGATATTTTGTTCACTTTGTTTTTATTTGCTGCTGAAGTTTTATCTCTCAATATCTTTAATTGTATACAGACTTAATGTCTGAGCTTTAACTGATGATTTATACATTCATTTTGACTGTCTGTGTTTATACCGTGCCGGTGCCAAGTATCGCATCTTTGGAAAGAAAGGGTGCGGAGAAAGAGATAAAATGAAAGAGACGAGAGATATAGTTAAAGATAAACAGATGATAAATACGCTTACTATTAAAGGAATCCGATAACTTTGTCTCAGATTCTGAAACAAAATCCTGGATTTAGCTTATGCTGCAATGATAATTATAAACCTTTAGGTCAGTCAGGAACCCCATGACTTTTTACAAGCCGATCTGAATATCAAGATATTTATGATTGGAAATTGAAACTAAATTTTGCGTTTGCCTAACGGTTTTCAAAACACTACAGTCTATTGGGGGAAATGAGTATGGTAAAACCGGTCACTCAAAGATTTTTTACCTTTTTGATGCACTTCTTGATCATTTTGAAGCGCGATTTTTGTAGGGCTTCAATATTACACCATATCACAGACACTGACAACACATAGGGCCATGCATCTTAACATTTAACATTGTTAAACGCTGCCTTTAAAGAAAAGGTGAACATCGTGATTTTCATTGTGGTCTTTATTTTTTTCTTCTTTCGGGGCGTTGTCTCTGTATAGATGTTATTTTTTAACAAAAGATAATCTCCAAAGTTCTATGAAATTACGAAACCGACTACGTACGGCTCCTTCTGTCTCTTAAACCTTGCGTTAAGATCTGGCCACTAGATATGCTATTTTTCTTTGCCATGGAAACATGAGTCTAACCTTATATGATAAACTTCAAAAGATTCGATATGCACCATCATCGTTCTCCAATGACACAAGTATGACAATGACTTGTCACTGGTGAATGGTCGTAACAAAACTCACATGAAGGTGCATATTTGCTATACAATGCTTACTCTTGTCAAAGGGAAGATGTTTGATACGATTTGACAATTTTCTTCAAATATTTACTTCCTAAACATCATAGATATAAGAGCATTTGGTTGCTCTTTAGAAATATAACAAAACAATTTATGTTCATTGTTTGATTAAATGCTTAACAGCGAAACGAATCATTTTCAACCTTCCTCTTAGAGCAACGATTTGCAGTTTTGTAAATGATCTGGTTTGACTACATGATAAATGCCTGTCTAAAGAATAACTTATGCTATCCGTTATGTCGCATTAAAGCTCATAATTAACATTGCCCATCTGCGCTTCCTGCAAGAAGGGATTAGCATAGTTCCCTCGACAATCAAAACAGGGTTAAGTACGAAATCATTTGAGTCTGCCCTTTCTTGAATTAGGTTAATTCCCCCAAATATAATCAATGGCCCACTTATTTTACAAGCATTATGCTTTCTCCTCCGAGCTAGCTAGAAAAGAGACTGTTGGCTAAGATAATAGTTTATATTTTGGATCCAAGCCTGCCCATTATTTCCTCGGTAATATGTAGTAATATCCTGCTATAATGAGAAAAGCAATGCGGCTAATGTCATATTTCATCCCAATAATGTCAAATTGGAAAGCAGCAGCAGCTGCCCCCTCAAACAAAAAGGCGGATGCACTATACTTTCTACAAGCAAAATCTTTAATTACAGTCATCATTAAAAAAAAAAATATCCATTAAATCGTTCTTTAAAAAAATTCTAATAACGAACCTAGCTACAGGTCACAATTAGGTGAGAGATTTGTTCGCCTAGTTTCCTTTAACCCTTTTAATCGCTTTTTTGTTGTTTTTGATTAGCTTTAAGGTAGGCCTAATTCAGTCAAATATGGCTATGTTTGCCAATTTTTTTTATATCTCGCATCAATATACCTTTTCATCATTTCAAGTTTTGTGAGTTTTTAAAAATAAAATAAAAATTGACTTGACGCCTGGAAGCAAATTCTCGTTGGCGGTTGCTGTTCAATTAACAGTTTATTCATCTTTCCTGCCAGTCCCTCCCTCACATCTAACACGGATATCCCTTGATATACATGCACTACTTAACCTGCCCACTCAACTAAACTCAGAAATCCCTATCCCACAAATACATATTTGAAAGGGAGGGAATTACAATCCTATATGCTAATCTGGATTAATTCACCAAGTAGTCTGGAAAATGTTTACTTTCTAAATCAGAAAGACGCTTGGTCTCAATCCAGCGAGTATTAAACTTGGACTTAACGATTTGAGAGACACATTACCGGGATAGACCAGAGAGTCAGCAATACAATCAGTAAATTTATAAAAACTGTAAAAGCCTGCAGCAATCGTTTGAAATGGGGTAAGAACACTGCAACTACTGCGTTTGTCGTATAGTAATGAACATATTATTCTTCCCAATCCGTCGATTACCTATTCAGCACTTTGGATCCTCGGGAAAAGGCACTTTATAAATCCAATTATTATTATCATCAATACAGTGTATTATCATTGTAATTATTGTTATTATTATTATCATTATGACTACTAATATCATTATTAGTATTGGTAGTAGTAGTGGCAGTAGCAGTAGTAGTAGTAGTAGTAGTAGTAGTAGCAGTAGTAGTAGTAGTAGTAGTAGTAGTAGTAGTAGTAGTAGTAGTTGTAGTAGTAGTAGTAGTAGTAGTAGTAGTAGTAGTAGTAGTAGTAGTAGAAGTAGTTGTAGTAGTAGTAGTAGTAGTAGTAGTAGTAGTAGTAGCAGCAGCAGCAGCAGCAGCAGCAGTAGTAGTAGTAGTAGTAGCAGCAGCAGCAGCAGTAGTAGTAATAGTAGTATTATCATTATCATTGTTATTATTATCATTATTACTATTTTAAGTATTAGTAGTAACATTAATATCATTAATATTATTTTTATAATTATAAGTGATCAATCTACATGAGCACTTCATTGCAGTTTCCCAATGGTCACTTTTTTGTTGGTTAATTTTCTCTTTTATAGGACAGTGACCTAAAAATGGTCCAATCACTTCTGGAAAGTCCCTTAAAGCTAGGGGCACGTTGAGTTAAGAAACGGATCACAGCTTCTGCACTATAAGTGGATCAATCTGGATTATCTCCCTCACGTTATTTCATATTTGAAAAGAGGAATATGGGTCATACTTATTGTTAACATGTAAAACCCTCCCTCGTGGTTTATACATAGCGTCATGTTCCGTCAAGGGGCAACATGTAGTATAAGTTCCCAAGACACGATTCTAAAACATTAAAGACAAAGGTCGCAAAAGGGTTATCCTATTACTAAAAAGTTCGTCTATACCAATAAATTCTCTCTGCGTTTTGAATTGTAGCTGCTCTATAACTAACAACTTTTTTTTGTTAAAGGACTACATTAAATCAGCTGTGTGCATTGTCTTAAAATCTAGATAATGGGAAAAAACGAAAGAAGGAATTTTGAACTATAGCCAGTTTGTTTAGAAGGTACTTAACCTATACAAATCGAATCAGGCCCATAAGGAGATTAATGACATAATGTGTTCATGTTGGCCGTCAAATAATGTAGCTGTTCAGCAATTTGATTAACTCGTTAGCCAGATTACCTGTTGCGTTTCTGCATCAACAAGGAATGCTCAAACATGGCAGAACATGACAAGGTGATCACGATGAAAAAGAAATCCTCGGGAACTTCGCCAGAAAATTGTTAAATTAAAAGGTATTCCCCATGTCTGGAGACTCATTCTTTTTGTTAATCTTTGCCAGCGTTACCCTGCATGAGGTATTCACTTGTGTTACCATGACAAAGTCAAGGAACACGCTCACCAGGTGTTCGGAGTTTAGATTGTCTGCCAAAAAACATGATCTGAACATTAAATGTGGAATATTATAAATTTGTGCATGTATGCTTTTGCTGGCGATGCACCTTTGCTTTCGCACGTTTTAACGATGACAAGCAGTCAGGCAACACAATGTACAATCATGTTATTGTCTTGATCCCCCCCCCCCCCCCCCCTTTGTTGCTAATACTTGTCTCTCTCTCATGTTTTGATATCATTTTTTTTCAGCGTTATTTTAATTACAGTTACAGCGGTTTAATATACGATTATCATTAACAAAAATACATTAATAAATTCAGATTATACTAACCTTATCTCACAAGAAGGTATATCAAAATAAAAATCATGGCTGTAAGCAATGACAATCCCACATGCACATTACACACAAATCATGGTCATCGTAGTAGGTAAACAGATGAAATCACGAACAACAAAACTCACCTCTCTGACGTGTATTCTCCTGTACAAAACTTTTCAAACTATGAAGGTGCTCAACTCAAGATGGGCTGTTCGACGTCTCTCTGCACTTTGTGGATTCAATATTTTAAAAATAACCTGAAGTAGCGCATCCGATTGACCTGATTTCAAACCACATCTAAAAATGCAACTCGATCGGGAATATTTAACATGGAACATCCATGATCCTTTGACTTTTAATCAAACCATCCATAATGCCTGGTTCTTAATCTTGTAGACGCTGCTTCGAATCTATTGTAGAATATATACTTTGAACTTTGGGGGTATCACTGAAGGACTGAAGAGGCAGGAGAGTCTGGTCTTGTTAGTCACATCCGCCGCCTGATATATGCCGCTGGTTTTGACTTTTACTCGCTGAAGGTTGCCAAAGTCATTATTACCTCAACTTTCCGAAATCGAACAAAGTTTGGCTCATCCCAAGCTATTTCCGTAATCTTCTTAATAAACATCCTTGTTTCATTATTACTATTCATCTGTCATTCAGACGACAGTTGCTCTCTCTCTCTCTCTCTCTCTCTCTTTCTCTCTCTCCCATTTTCTCTCTTTTTCATAATGGACATATAGTCGGTACTCTATCCATTATCTTGTTTTCAGAACTTTACATTATGTACAGTAGTTGTACAAATTAAAATTCAACCAAGTAACATATAATATCCATGTAAATCCAGGTGTCTTGGTAATAGAGAATTAATGCATCAACAAAGGCACCAAGGAAAAGGTATCAACCCCATAACCTCACCATTTTAAACACCTTTTACCCCTGCGCTATCTGGGTTATGTATTCAAACTTTTAAAAAAGGACGTGTATTCCTTGTTGTGTATCCTTGACCTTCCTTGTTTCTCCTCATTTCCCGTTGGTGAAGACCAATCGAGATTAGATCAGTAGGGGTAGGACTGGCGACGTGATGATGTAAGTTCATCAATCAATCGTGGCATCAAGATAAACAAGACAACAACAAGAGGACAACAAAAACAAGGTCATGTGTGTAGAACTATGTCTTAGCAAAAACCACTCGGGACATATTTTATTGAAGGCCTACATGCGTAATGACTCCCTGGTATCATCTTCTTACAAACGGCAAAATGAAAAAGCTTGCATTAGTGATAGTTATTGTTTTCACGAAGTGACGGTAGTGAGGAAAATCGTAACGCAAAGTGAATGCGATTTTTTGTCACTACCGTCACTTCGTAAAAACAGCGACGAATATATTCAATACCCCATGATGTTCTATTTCATTGAGTTCTAGATGGACTCGGAAAGGCGTTCCATGAGCACTTTATTAGGTGAACAGTTATAAGAACTGCATATCTAAAATATGTTCCCTCTTTCGGGGCCTTCTCCAATTCCATGGATGTCCTAGGTGAACCCTGCCTTGGACTGTCTGTTCTGTCTGCATATTCAATTTAAAAATCTATGTTTTTAAACTTGTTCATGAGGACAGTTACCTTTCATTTGGTCGAATAATGTAAATGAAATATCGACAGTGACTACATGTTGAGTATGGAATAGCACCCCCTCTCTCCCTCTCCCTCTCTCTCTCTCTCTCTCTCTCTCTCTCTCTCTCTCTTGCTCTCCCTTTTTCTCCAAATTGTGTTGGGATGAGTGTTTATATGTATTTCTTTCCTTCGTACTCTTTTATCAATTTTTTTTTTTTTTTTGGTTTGGTTTATTGAGAAATCACATCAAACAAGCAGCTCGCAGGCTGAAAATGTTCAATTTACAAACAAGTTAAAAATATAGAGAGATATAACATATACAAAACTCAAATACATATTGTAAGTCATTGTAAGATGAAATCGAAATCGCAAAACAAAGTTATAGAGTAATGTAATAATATACTTTCATGTTGAAGAACCAAGACGGTGGGGAGGAGAGAATGGAGAAGAAAAAAGGAAGTTGTTTGACCGAAAGAGTTGAGAAAGTATTTAACAATTGCTAAACAAACATTTCTATTACAAAAAATGAAATTAAGCATTAAAAAAACCTTATTGGATGGGATGAAATTAAACCGTAAAAGTCAAAATGACTTTGCAGTTCCCCTTGCGCTTATCAATCACCAATGTTTCTAATGCAGACCGTTGGGGCGACAATGAAATGGAGCTTAAGACATAGGATCTCCATAATTTTCTATCATCAGCTGTTCTAGTTTGCTGCTCAAATAACATTCCCGTCCATCTCAAATAGATGACGTCTTTATTCATATTTGCTTGTCTCGCGGCACGTATACTAAGATGGAATTGCTTTTCATTTCTTATAAAAGCTGAGAGAGCGCAGGAGTCCATGGGCGGTGTAAAGAGTCTGAAGTGGTGGGACAACACCTAAAGGCATAATTGAACACTGCCAAATCTGAGATGCATGGCCCTCCGTGTTTCAGTATTATGGTGTAATATTGAAGCCCTAAACAAATTGCGCTTCAAAATGATCATTAAGTGCTTTAAAAAAGTAAAAAGTCTTTGAGTGACCGGTTTACCATACTCATTTTCCCCAGTAGACTGTAGTGTTAAAAAAAACCGTTGAGAAAACGGTTTTTGAAATTTCGAATTCCAATCATAAATATCTTGATAATCAAACATGCGATTAGCTTGTAAAAGTCATGGGAATTATTTCTGACCTAAAGGTTTATAATCATGGTTGAAGCATGAGCTAAAGCCAGGATTTTGTTTAGAATCAGAGGCAAAGTTGCCCAATCCATTTAAGCTTAGATTTCGAAAGGGCAAAGTGTACGGGGTACAAGAACATAAGCTATTAGAAGGACTTAGTTTGCAAAAAAAAGAACAAGAGAAAGAAAATCATGAGGGAATTCCCACTGCCACGAAATAAAATTGTTGATGACTGTTTAATCCCCGAAAAAACTTGATACCAATGAGAACCGTCCCTTGATGCAGCACCTGCCGGAACCTGTCACATTATGGAACCCTTAAGACAGTACAGTACCTATAGCAACATTCAGTATTGCTCATTAAGGCAATTATTGGGAGCTTTGAAATCCAAACTAGGGTGACGTGAACCTGACGAACTTGTATTGATAATGTTTTTGCTCGGAGCATAGCCAGTGAGGGTACTACTGTTTCAACAGACAAACAGACATTATGAGCGTCTAGGTTTCGCTACATAACTATTTCAAACGATAATTTGTTTAAGTGTTGCGTCTAACCCAATCCGCAATAATCCAGCTGAAATAAGTCTAATGAAACATAATTATAAACTGTAGAGAAACAACAACTTAAAATTAAAACTATTGGGCGAAGTTTTATTTGCTTAATTCCATGTATAATCAGTAAAAAATGTGGCGGGGACCTTGATTTTTTTTTTTTTTTTTTTTAATACACCTGATATTAAAATGATAAAACATTTAGAAATGACTCAGTTTTTATTCGACACGCAATTCTCGATAACAACGATGCACGTAAATATAATGTCAAACGTTGATATCCAGCCGTTGTGTTATGAATGACTCCTGCCCTCGGAAGTGAACAAGCAGTTACCATGGCATTGAACAATGGAAATGATATGACAAACAACCTTCATCTACTTTTCCCTCACATGGCCTTCATTGTGGCAATTTGGCGAAAAAAAGAGAAATTACGACAATTATGAAGGAAACCCCAACCTTTCCCGATCACAATTTGTTTCGAAAAAACATTTGTGTTTATGATTATGACGAATCTTCTCTTTCCCTGAGGAGAAGTCGTGTGTTCAAACCTTCTGGCATCTAGATGGCAAATGTCTTCACAATAGCAATTCATATCACTATCGATCTACTGAATATGCCAATCATTTCTTTTGTTCTGTTCCTTTCTTGGTTTTGCTTCAAATTAATCATTCTTTTATTCTTTTTCTTTTCTTCTCGTCTCTTCTGTTTCTCTTTTTCTTATTAGTGCTTATATTTCACCATATCAGATTCCGTATTTGTTCCCCCTCGTATTCCTCTTTTCATCATCTTAATCCATATTTTGTCTGATAATTCTCCCTCTTCCTCTATCTTTCTTATTGATATGCGTCTTTGTCTGGGTGTTTGTTTCTTGTTTTATCTGATGAACAGCCTTGATCATGACCATCCGGAAAGCTGATTCTAATCTTGAACATATTAAGCAGACAAGATAGTTAACAACTAGACCGCCTCACAGTTTTTTAATTGAATTTGTCTACTGCTCAGGAAATAATATGCTGTTGCTATTTTCTTACTTTCATTTTTACAGGGCAAACGTATTTTTCGAAAGCCGTCAGAGTCATCAGACCTCTTTGATTTCAATCAATATGCGAAATTCATTTGAATCTAAACTGATACATATAATTATGTTGATTAATTGTTAATTAAACTGGTAAAATTATTATTAAAAGTATGGGCCGCTATGAATCATCCCTTCCGTTCGTTCATGTAGCGCATGTCACGTTTCACACAGTGATCTACCTAAGCTGCTTTGTTTATCATTATTGTGAGGGCGGCTTACATTAAGGGGAACCCCCGACTGAGAGAACGATTATCATGTCACGCAATCAGCATCCAGTATGTCATTTACCTAATCATCCTTATTTAGCTTGATATTTCAGACATGGAGAGAACACTAACATTCCCTTAAAATGATGACAAATATGACCTTTCGATAAGATTTGATGTGGATGTCAAACAAACTTCAGTAAAACGCATCGCAGACTCACTTCACATAATTGCTTTCAGAGTACGCATTAGAATGATGCTTCTATTTCCTCCACAACACAAGACAGGGACCATGAAATTGAACCACTGCGTAAATATGGCAATCACATAGTGAAGAGGGGAAAACATGGTCGTTTCGGGTATCTCGAGAATTTAAAGGGAGGAGCTTTATCAGTTTATTGTCTTTGGATAGAATCGAACGTGAATTAGAATACATTTTGTTGCAAATAAAGAAATTACCCCAATATAGACCTTACTGATGATAATCATCGCTGTCTTCTTCGAGTTTTCACTATTCATCTAAGCCATAATGGAGGTATTACGTCAGGGTTATTTCATTATCTTCTATCTGAGGTATACTATAGTCTGTCAATAGTAGCACCGTTTAGGATCATGTTCGACATAAAGGTCAATGAGAGCTCGGGGAAAAGCCATTTACCGTGATTTTAACTGGATGGAAAGATTACTTTCATACTTCAATCTTAGACAGACACGAAACGTTTGCCAGGCCCCTTCCCTAGAAGTGGTTGATTGGATGATTGGGCGTGACCATGGCGACGAGAGTCTCGAACTAACTTCGCGCGAACTATAACTTCCTGTTCATTTTCGCACAAATTTGGCCTCGTTTTCAGGCGCGAGTCAGGCCTACATGTATATACTCTTTCTTCTCTCCTCCCTTCTTCTTCTTCTTCTTCTTCTTCTTCTTCTTCTTCTTCTTCTTCTCTTCTCCTTTATTCTCCATCTTCCTCGATCCTCCCATTTCTCTCCCTCCCTCCATCCCACTCCCTCTCCCTCTCTTTCTTTCTTTTTCCTTCTTTCCCCTCTCACCCCCTCTCTCTCTCTCTCTCGTTCTCTTCCTCATTATCATGTATGTTCTACTCATATTCCTTCTTCTTCTGCTGCTCTCTTCTCCATCTCCTCCCCATCCTCATGTTTCCATTTGGACCCATTCTCTCTTCCTACGTTCACACACAACACACATACACACACGCACGCAACACACACACACCCACACACACACACGCACCCGCATACACACACACACATACGAATTGCCATGGAACAGAAATGAGTTATGGTGGTCAAACACATATCTTTAGTTTTCAGTATCAAATAAACTTTTTAATAATTCTCGCGAAGCAATTTATTACAAAATAGGAATCAATCGTTAACGTTATGCGAATTTATATATATATTTATAAAGATATTTTACATGTATATTTAGAAGCAATGAAAGTATCTAATTTCTAATAGCGCGATATTTTACCATACCTTTTCGACAATATAAACTGAATTTAGATTCATATTTGATTTAACTATCCATTAGCACAATATTAGTTATAGGCTCGTACAGTCTGTTTTGGGCCAAAAGGACATTCATTCTGTGTTCAAGTAGCCTATATGACTTAACGCTCTTCTGCCTCCAAGAAAAGACTATGCATTGATTTGCTACAATGATCCTTTTGTCAGTGCAGTTTGATAAGAAAAATGCAACAAGCGAATAACATGTAATGCCATTGCATTACAGTTTAGTGTTGGTTTAGTGTCGGCTGTTGGTTTTTTCTAATTTATACCCCGTATTTTTCTGCTCAGCTGTCGTTCATTGAGTTGGCGGTTCTTTCAATATCCAATGTACTCTCATTGAATTACACAATCAATTATTATCTGGCCAGTACTGACTGATTGATTGATTTGATAGAATTTCTAGTTTTATACCCTAAAACCCATTGTATACTTCAGCAAAAGATGCATCACCTGCACCGGCATGAACTAATGGCCCCTTCACACATAGTGCGCCATTTAAATGTATTTATTACCTACGCTAATAATAGCCTATGAAAGGAATTTACTACACGCCCCTTTGGATCCAATGCATTGTCATTTCTTCAGTTTGCATTCAGTTGTTTTAGCAGTGCCCCCTCCCCCTCCCCCTCCCCCAATTGACGCGTCAATAATAGTTATTGTATACCGACGGAGTCTTACGTCATGGCCCGGTCACGCACGGCCCGCGCGTTGAAAATCGGAAAAAGTCGTGGAACCGACTTTTGTCAGGATTTGGGGGAAGCTAGCGAGCTGACACCGAATGCATAGCGTGTTGCTAGCGCGTTGCGCGTATACAGGGCGTGTGCTCCTCGTATGTCTGACGTTGGTCTAGCGCGCTCTGTGCGTGTCTGGCGTCTTTCGGCGTGTACATTCATGCGTCAAGCTCCGCGCATATTTTTTTGTGCATGCACAAATAAATAAAAAAAGACGCACACAGCGAATAACGTCGAATGCAAAGCGTTGGTCTAGCGCACTCGACGAACGAGTAACACACTATCAAAAATTGCAAATTTTCAATTTTCAATGCGCAGGGCGTGCTTTCCCCGTGCGTCCTCCGTGCGTCCCCTATGTATGCTCGCCCCATTAACAATTCAAGTATCTTCTGCAACGAAATAAACTAATGTGATATACATGAATGCGTCAATGTACCCATTGCACAGCAAAAGGATATCCAATGCATTCTGAAGGTCAGAACGTGTAGGTCTATAGGCCATTTATTTTGTCATGTTTTTTTTATGTCACAGGTACCAATAGGTACATGTAGATCATAATTTTCTCGTCAGAAAGAGAGACAATGTATAATTCATTTTCCCTGAGGCCTTTTAACGTTTCTCTTACCCGAAGAACATCAAATTTGTATCATTCTCTATAAATAGAGTAGTGAATTAGTTTATGGATTGATCTAAGAATCTGTTCATTTTCAGAATACAGTCATTGACTTATTTTGTAGGAACGGCCGGATTTACCTTAACATCAAAGTCATGCAAGTAGTAGTAGTACAAGTAGAAGTAGTAATTTGTGTAGTAGCGGTTGTAGAACAGGTATATTAATAGCAGTTATAGTAATGGTAATAGCGGAACTATTACTAGTACTACTAGTAGTGGTAGTAGTAGAAGTAGTTGTAGTAGTACTAGTAGTAGTAGTAGTAGTAGTAGTAGTCGTCGTAGTGAGAAAAGTAGGTATATTTTTATTAGTAGTAGTAGTAGGAGTAGTATTAGAAGTAGAAGTAGTAATATGAATGATGTTAGCGGTGGTGTTGGTGACTGGTGTTGGTTTGAGTGTTTACAGCGGAAGTATAAGCAAGTGTGGCTGTTGTTGTCGTTGTTGCTATAGTAGTAGAGTGGTAACTTTAGTAGCACTATTGTATAATCATTATCATCATTAGAAATAGTAGAAGTAGCAGTAGTAGTAGTAGTAGTAGTAGTAGTAATAGTAGTAGTAGTGGTAGTAGTAGTAGTAGTAGTAGTAGTAGTAGTAGTAGTAGAGTAGTAGTAGTAGTAGTCGGTCTGTAGAAGTAGGTTAGCAATATAAGCGAAAATTGCAGATGCATAATCGCAACTACTGTAATTGTAATAACTAGTGATTAGAAGTAGTAGTAGAAGTATAACATAAGTAGAAGAAATATAAATACAAATAGAAGTAGTAGTAAATAACTACTAGTAGTAGAATTCTTAGTAGCAGTAGTAGTAATAATTGTAGAGTAGTATTATTACCGGGTATTATTAACAGTAGATAAGACCACCAGCAGCAGCTGTGATAGTGGTGGCAGTGGTATTGGTTTGTTGTGGTGATGGTCGTCGTCATTACGGTAGCATTATTATTAATAATAGTAGTCACAGTAGTAGAAGTTGTAGTTCTAGTATAAGTACTACTCCTAGTAGTAGTGGTGGTAGTAGTAGTAGTAGTAGTAGTAGTAGTAGTAGAGTACCAGTAAAAATAATAAAAGAACAAGAACAATAATAAATAGAATTAGATGTAGCAGTAGTAGCTCTAGTATAAGTAGTACTAGTAGAAAGAAACAGTAGTAGTAGTAGTGGTGGTAGTTTTATCATTATAGTATTATCGATATATACTACTATCAGTAGCACTATAGTTTCACTTGCAGCAGCGGAATTGTAGAAATAATAATAGTACTAGTAGTGGAGATGGTGGTAGTGGAGGTGGTGGTAGTAGATGTAGTAGTAGTAGTAGTAGTAGTAGTAGTAGTAGTAGTAGTAGTAGTAGTAGCAGCGCGTACGCAGGATTTTTTCAGGGGGGGGGTTTTAACATTTATAAATCGGTCCGAAAATTTCGCAACGACTCAGCCAGCCGCTGAATAAGCGGGGGGGGGGGGGGGGGGGGGGGGGGGTAAGAGGACACATTTTTTTTTTTTTTTGGTCCCAAAAAAATCGCAACGACTCAGCCGACCGCTGAATAAGCGGGGGGGGGGGGGGGGGGGGGTAAGAGGACACTTTTTTTTTTTTTTTGGTCTCGAAATTTGGAAATTTGACATTTTGCTCCGTTGGGGGGGGTAAGGTCACCTTTTTTAGGTCGGCCATGGGAATAATTATTTTTTTTTTTTTTTTTTTAATAATTAAAAAAAAAAAAAAAAAAAAAAAATCCAAAAGGGGTTTTAGGTTTTTTTCAGGGTTTACACACAAAAAATTTCCAAAGGGGGGGGTTTAACCCCCCCCCCTGCGTACGCGCCTGAGTAGTAGTATTAGCAGCACTAGTAGAAGTCGTAGTAGTAGTATGTAGCAGTAGTAGCACCTGAAGTAGTACTAGGAAGAAAAGAGCCATGAACTTGATCGCACTGAATAGAGCAATCTAGCCGCATTCTTAAAAAATATAATATTCATGCTTAATGTTCATGTTTATGTGTATATGCTTAATACGAAGAAGAAAAAAAACAACAATAGTAGTAGTAGTAGTAGTAAGAGGTACAGTAATATTACGCAGCTGTGCATTTTGTTTATGCATATGTGTATGTTAATGATATTAAATAAAATAATACTGAATCAACCATAAGCAACAATAACATTGGATACACATTAGGATCTAGCCCCGGGGGATACTACGATTTGGTTTGGACGGGGGTGTGCCGCTCAAGCGTCGAAACCCCTACCCATTAATAGGGGACATTTTGGGTCATGTTTCTCGAAAGGGCTCACCATTCCACAATTTTGCAAATTTTGAAAGAAGGACCCATTTTCCCGGACCAGTGATCTTTTTGTCATACAATTAATTATCATAACGAGAACCATAATGAATTAACACTAATCTTAGACAACATTAAGCCTAAATATATTACTCATTGCGGATGTAGTATCGAAAATAATATCACTAGTGTTACTATATTTTTTAAACCCTAATAACGATTGCAAATTAAAAACTGTGGCTAAAATTAAATGAGATACCGACAGCAATCATGGTACTTATTGGTTTTTCACGAGATACACTTAATTTGCAAGTTATATATTTAATAAAAAAATATCAGTATGTTTCAAACATGTAAGTGTTGGTGACTTCAACCGTGTGTTAAATGATACAAACATATTTAATTTGCATTAGATCTCTAGTACTGTATTTTTTTTCTTCTTCATATCTCATGTATGTATAGGTATCGCTCATAGAGGTTAGATATTTGAGAACGTAAAGTGATGTGTGTGTTGAACTTAATAATCTTTTAGTGAATATCCGCATTGTCAACACAGTTTGTGCTACGAACAATCCAGAACCTGCCCCTTTAAAGAAGATGAATATAGCATTATGAACTATTCATACCATGGATGCCATAGGTGCCATTATCAACACTTATTTTCATTAATTTTTAATTCCTGATCATAAGGCATGCCCCGTTCGGAGAATAGTCGTACTTTTGATACGCGACCATGCGACTCTGAAATCAACTATGTTTTTTTCTTCTTCTGAAGAGCCATGTACTGAAACTGTTGCTTGTAGATTAACATAATGTAATTTAACAACATTCCTGCCTAAAGCGTTTTGATTACGACATCATTACGTAGAATAAAAAGCGTACATGTAATCAATAGACGTGATAAAAGAGAATCTAGGTATCAAATATTGGTGTTGAGCATGATAAAGATTGCAGTCTTAAAAAATCGTGTACATAGATTGATATCGGAAGCTAGACACTGGAGATTACGCCAGTATTTACATACTGGTAAAATATTATTTTTTGTACAGTTATACTCTTCATTCAAATCATGATTAACGCCATGTCAAAAGACAAACACAGTTAAAAAGAAACAGGCACATTACAAATACCCTGTCAAAATGAACATCAAAGTGGTATAAACAGTTCGTTGAAATGCATCATTTTAAACAGAATAAAACAATTGCCCCAATACATTACTTATTTAACAAAGCACAAGCGTGCTTTTAAAAGTAGATGAAAATGCCAGTGGAATTCTTTCCTGCCATGCTATGATAACATTATGTTTTGCTTTATGGAAGTCCAGTATATTTTAAGAGGAGACAATAAAAGCAGTGGCTCTACATTTACATACCAGCAAATTGACTTTTGTTACAGGTGCACTAAATGATTTTCCAGTCAGACAATATGTTGCTGTAGAGAGGTTGTTTCATATTTAGTGTCCATGTCATGAGCTGTTTGTCGCAACGATACTACTATTCGAAAATGGAGATTTCAAAGTGCATGCATGTCGTTTGACCTATAGTAAATAATTCGTTTTTTCCACTACTACTCATTGTTGCAGAGAAGATCGCGTCAGGTCAGTCCTAATAACGGACATATCCTGAAATAACTTGAAATTTCTAGACAGACCAGCGAAAGATTCGTGCTAAGACTGGACAACTACTCGAAGGATAGACCTTTAGTACTATATCATGAACGCTACTGCATGTGTAGATAAAGATTAGAAGACGACATATATCATTATTTCGTTAAATGTTATGAGAGAAGAGCTTCGTACACAGGCTTCAGTCGACAAATGGAACAAACAGAGAATTGCCACAGTCGATTTGTTGTCGCACTCAGATAGTATAATCTACTCCGAATATACTCAATACATTGTGACTGTCCAGGACTTTGATCCATGGCAACTGTAAAGTTTAGAAGTAGCACAGATTCGTGCTAAATATGAAACCACGTATTCGAGAAGAAAAAAAAGTTAAGAGTTTTTATTTAGCTGTCTACTAGTGGGAGGTGGTGATCGTCCTGGTGCGTGATTTATAATGGATGACGTCGTTGTTGCCGAGGGAGCTATGGAACTCCGCCCCGACGGGAAACTTTGATGCTTTTCTTCTCACATTGTTTGACGTATTGGTCTCTGGTCGAGCCAGGATGATGTAACACTTGGGAACAAACATGAACCCGAGAATCATTGCATTGGAAAGCCACGTGGTGATCATCTGCAGCAACGACTGCAGACTGCCATTGATAGAAAAGTAAAGGGGAAGGGAAACGATCCAAATCACAATGTAGAACATCATGGTGACCGTGATGTAACGAGTCTCGTGAAAGTTCTCGGGGATTTTCTTGCCCTGAACGAAAGGACAAAGCAAATGATAGCAATAAGCGCAATGTAGCTGTACATGACAATAAAACAATACAGGTTACTCTCGCAGACGATATAGACCTTGGTTGTAGAGAGATTGTATTCGACTTGAACACGAGAGGGCGCTAAAGAAAGGTAAGCTGTCACCACGGCAACCTGTATGACCCAGAGGAGGATGAAGAGCACGACCTGGGCAGATGTATTACGTAACACGCGCTTGACAAGAGATTCATTTCGCCATGATGAGGTATCGAAGACAGCCAAGATTCGTCTCGTTTTGACTAAAAACAAAGCCAAGATGGCAGCGTTGAGGACGCTATGTAGGGCGATACGAAAGTTGCAGGTCCAGTTTGTCGGCGTGCCCACGTAGAGGACGGGTTCCACGAATCCCAGCATGAGGAGACAGAGAAGACAGTAGCTGAGTGGACGATTTGAAGCACGGACTACTGCTGTATCATGGTGGTGAATAAAGATTCCTAATGATACCAAGGTACAGATCACGCCGATGCCGCAAATGACCAAGCAGACAATAGCAACAGGATCTTGCCATACCAGCACGTCAGTGAATTTGGGCAGACAGGCTGTCCGGTCATCGTTCGACCATTCGCCTTCAGGACATTGGATGCAGTGTGTTCGACCTGTCATAAAAATATGGGGAAAACGAAGGTTAAACATTTATCACTTGATATATGTCACACCTCACATACGGGAATTATGTAGAAATTAATCAACGTTAAGTCTGAATCATAATTTTGTTTTTCATTTAAATAAGTGGTTTAGTACTGATAGTGCAACTCGAGGAAACTATCCAGACCATGATGGGAGAAGTTCATTATTTAAACAATAGAGTGTGAATAGGGATATTTTTAAAATCGTCAAAGGGATCTCCATCTTACCAAGAACAAGCACCGCATATGCACACTTTGGCGTGCACTTTTGGTCCAAAGTCTTAAATTTATCTCTATTCATTTTATGGAATATTATTTCATTTCAAGAGCCATGCCTGTCATGTGATAGTGCTATAATGATATTCTTCCACACAATACGCTCACTTTAACCATGACTTAGATAACTAAAGTTGCTATAAATTTTGATGACGCTATTCTAAAGGGGGGTCGTACATGTATGAGCCTTTGTAGGTTGAATCATGATTTGTGCCAATCGCCAATCGCCAATCGTTCCAACATATTGATTGCCTACATTTATTGTCGAATTCACAATGTGGCAGGGAGAATGATGCCTTTAATAATTCCCTTTCCTTTGAACTTAATAGTTTTCAAAATCATATATTATTCAGAATCTACTATATACCTGTCTGGTTTGTGATGGAGCCGACCGGACAAGCCTCACAGTCAAAACAACAGGGAGGTGAGCCCTCTCTCGTCGACTTGACATATCCAGGTTGGCAAGCCGCTCGGCACACTCCCTCTGGGGGCTGTGGGGGAGAATATTTAAAAATAGGGAAATGGGAAGGAGATACACATTAGAAAGGTATTATGTTTGAAGGAATGAAGACTAGATAAATGAAAAGGGAAACAGAAATTTATTTTGTTTGGAAATGAAGCAAGAGGAAGTATTTATTTGTAATTTCATTTCATTTATATTCATTTTCGACCCATGGGATGGGTGAGCCCTTTTAAACAAGTTAAAGTTTCAAAGGGGTCCTAAAACAGTTAAAATTCTACATTTTCAAAAAAAAAGACATATAGGAAATTCCTAAAAGTACAATATAATTTTTATGACATATGACAAAATGACCTTTTTCATTTAAATTTATAATTTCGCTTGGACTTCGCTCAAGCTTCCTATCATTTCCCTATGTTTATTTATATCATGTATATCATAATACAATCGTCATGTTCAAGGTGTCACTATCTGCAGTCTCTGGCTATCATCCATTATTCCTCCGTCTCTCTCTCTCTCTCTCTCTCTCTCTCTCTCTTGTTTACCATTCATGTATAACATTCAATGATCGAGGACACGGATGGGGTGACAGTTTGTTTTCATTGGGAAACACATACGGGAAATGATAGAGCTTATTTGATGTTTCACGAAAGTGACAGAAGAAGATTAGAGAACATGATCATCCCTCGGAAAGACTTTCACTGAGAATCAATCAGTAGGCTAGATTGTTTACAGTCTGCACTCACTGAACAAAAAAGAAAACCAGGCTGTTCTCACTGCTTTAGTCCGACTCTATAGTTACTGCCAAACCGGGCGGTTCTTATTGCCAAATAAACAAGTTGTTCTCCGCATAATTATTATCAGCGATTGATCATGCTAGCTTCAAGTATAGACAAAGACATCTGGTATGACTATAATTGGTCGATTTTTAATTACAAAAAATACAGTATAAACCGCTGTATTTTACCGGGATTTCATGAAATATCATATGATTAATCGAAAAGATTTTTGTTCTTGTTTATAAAGGCATGATTAATCAAAAAAAAAACGTATTGTTTTGTAATTATCATTCTATAGGGTCATTATCATTAGTATTATTATTAGAAGTAGTAGAAGTAGTAGTAGTAGTAGTTTGTTTTTTGTTTAATTTTTTAACACGATTTCATACAAGTTCTATATGTACAGGAACTGTCCAAATATATCCTATAGTAAGGGCAACATTGCTAGGAAAACGTTTTTCGAATATCCTTCAATCCACAACAAATATGTACATTGGATTGATGAGGCATGCAGGGTGGACCGATCATGGATGCTGATAAAGTGAGGTGGTGCCTGTTTTGTGACGCTGCGGGACTCTCCATGGTATACGGACTTGGTCAGAGAAGCTCAATATTGACATTTCTGGAGCATTCTCTTTTGTCTCTCCAGCTAAGCTTCTTTCTGCCATTTCCTATCATCGGGCACATCTAATTCTTGCTGAGAGGGTCTACATAAAAGGCCGAGGTGGAGGTCGTACTGCCACTTACTTAAATGAAATCCTTGATGTTGGGGAAAGATATTGGAATCTGTTTGAAATAAATGATGGGGAAATGACGTCGGTTGTTCAGAAACTCTCTGTTGATGTGTTATTTTGACCATACCGATCTTATGCTACACCATTTACAATTTCAATTTTTCTTGAATGTATGTATTTCGTATGTACTCGACTTGTGTGCACTTTTCAAAAGATACCTATTATTTCAATACTAAACGCATTTCATTCATTTAAATTACATAATATACATATATTTATTCATACATGATTTTGGCTTAGTTTGTTCTACTCGACCCTGTTGCAAAAAAATATATATATAAATATGCATCAGAATGTTGTTCATTAACAATCGAATAGAGGTTAGGATATACGAAAAGGCATACTTGTTTTCAACTCGTCTCTTCGCTCGTTAAGTCTCGTCCCAGTATAATTATGTGCCGAACCCTCGATAAGCTTATTGATAATGAACTAGTCGTCTTCTTCCAATATAATTATCGCAGGAAACGGGACTGTTGCCGCCAGCCCCCCCCCCACCACCTGATGCTATATCAGTCTTCTTCAATCACCCATTCTCAGTCGAATTTTTCTGTTTACAAGAAAGTATCTCGTATCTCTTTTGCGCGCCAGTCCATCAGTGTAATAGCAGTAGCGGGAATAAATTGCCTGTTTTATGAGGCCGTAGACCTGCTGCATCCAAAAACGAATAATTTTCTCTGAAAGGCCAGTCGGTGAAGATGAAAGATTTTTATTTTAACTGGGAAGGAGATGGGAAATGCAAATGACTCGTAGAGCGATGCACCTGGTTACAAACTCGAGAGAATATATCGGTGTTTACGACCTAATTCCAAAACGCCGGCCCATTTTTTCATAGTCTTTCTTATTTCGAAACGCAGTACCCCCCTTTTTCTGAGAAATACAGAATGGGGAAAATACGGGAAGGTAAACAAACTATTTTTTTTTTAAACAGGAGGAGTACACCCTGTAGATGGGGATAGGAGATAATAAAACAAAATAACAGCAAGGGACTCGGATAAGCTAGGATAGGCCCCGTAACGATGACATGAGATGAGATGACTGATCACTTTCTTTTCTTTCTCAGAAAGCCAAGATGGCAAATAAGGAACCCAGGGGGTATACGCAAACAAGGGGTATAATTGAAAAGTAGCATATTTGGAGTCTTGAAAACAAAACAGGGAATGGTTGCGATTGATCGCGAGTTACCTTTTTCTTTAGTACAGGGTTGCGATTGATTTCAGGCTACGTACGATTTGCATCACTGGCATGACATACGGCCCTGACAAACATTCAACTTTTTTAATTATCTATTTCACTTTCGCTTACAATTTTGTAAAGGTTTTTTAAAGACTTGTACATATTTCTTTCATGGTGAAGCATAATAGTGCATGCAAGGTCATAAAGATCTATTGACCATCCATCAAATAATTGCAGAATTATTTTTTTCTTCAAAGAACACAATCTTATATCTTACATTCCTTATACAAAGCAATACAGAAGTAATACTTTAATGTATTTACACAAAACATTCTCACTGTGATTCTTACCAATTTGCTATGCATTAATGATGATGTGTGAATGTATTTCATATTCATATAGTATTTGACATACTCATCAGCTTTTTCATTATACAAGGTTAGGCCTACACAATACTAAATTAGAGTGGTCTTTTAGTGTATGGACAAATAACATGATATGCCCTCCTATAATGCAGTGAACCCATAACTTTGTCAAAACATATCAATTTAGCGAAAAAGTTGAAAAAATAACACATTGCGATTACCCACATGATCATCTCCTGGACTTCAAACTAGGATACTCCATCTTTTTCTGGGATAAAAATTGTTCTAATTTCCCCATATTTCATTTTACCTCGATACCTTCCGGCATAGAACGTGTCTCGTACACCTACAGTAGATTGATAGTATCCCATCGCCGATTATTATCCCTTTAGTACACTTGCTCTCTATAGTATAAGCGCATATTTATCACGATAGCCCTTCGCAGACCATTTCGTCATGTATACACGCTCTTAATACGTTTTTTAATAAGTTGTATATATCTATTGCTGAAAACCATCGGAGGCAACTAATCTCATGAGCGTGCCAGTAGATCCTATTTTTAATCTATCCCCTAACAGCGATATATCTTTGCACTTTTAATCTGAATTTATATTACCTTTAAGTAGTATTGTAAATTGGCAAGGTCGCCTTGTCGACCCCTTACGTAGATAACAGCCTAAATAACAAATATGATTTTACACCGTCTGTCTTTCTGCCTCGTTTACCCCCCCCCCCCCCCCCCCCCATCTCTCTATATATTTCTCTCTTTCTCGTCGCTGACTTTATATCACTTGAATTAAGTCGATGTTCTCTCCTTTGGCTGAATAAAATTACATTTTTATTCAACTTTTTTCCTTATAGATTTTGACAGATTTCATACAATATCAGAATTGTTTATAGCATACAACCTAAAAGATATATGATTCTTGTTATAATGACGTTGAAAATGATTGAATTGAAAAGACTTTGTGAAAAGATCTCGCATCTCGCTGGTGCACATTTCACGTTCATTCCGCTGACCTTGAATTATTGCTAGAAATTGTTATTATGGAGTTTATCATTTGGTTCTTATTTGAAATAAATTTAGGAAAGACGGAAAACGAACAAGTCAAAACAAGTCAGCGGTTGCTTGCTGATAAACAATCTCAAATATTGAACCTGGGAAGCCTCTTACCTGTCCCCCGTTGATGTCGTGGTGCCAGTCGATAAGTGTTCGATCCAACGTCAAAGCGCCCTCCCCGTTGGGTTGCACGTCAAACCGACCTATCTCAACGAAGCGCACTGTCTGCTCTTCAGTACTTGCTGATGAGGAAACATTATCGGATCGGGTGGCGCTCCCAGGTGGCACGGATGTCGCTCCCTGACGCTGCCAGTGAACGATGCAGAAGTTCGCCGCCATCTCTCCATTTTCGTTGAACGTATGATATGGAGAAGTGTCCTTGGAGCCCGAGAGCTTCGTGAAGTTAACCTGGTTGAGGTAATTGATGAGTTGCCAGGGTTCTAGGTCGTTTAGATCCGGACATCTGCCTTCTGCTAGTAGTCCTCCAGGGGTTGTGCATTCTTCTATGCTTCTCAGTGTATAGGCGGCTGTGTAGACGGCTAAGTAGACGTGGTAGAGACTGAATGACCGGGAGTACCCTCTGACACTCTCCAGGTCCATAAGGTCGTGCGATGCGCATTTGGCGGCAATGGTTTTATTTGGATCCGAAAAGCTGCAGTGGAAGTTCGTCTCCCAGATCTCTCTCAACCATGTATCATTCTGAAATCTATGGTCTGTAGGATTTAGAGAAGCCAGATACGGGACGAAGCCGGGTATTTCATGGGTTTGAAGTACTACACCCAATACATTTCCAAGAATTCCATAGTTCCTGCTAGAAATCGCCGTTGAAGTTGCCCAAACATCGCTTGCGATCCAAGTAAACTCTATAAAGTAAAGATAGGAGAAATGGAAATTAGCTTAAAACGGTTTGTTGCTCGCAGATTGCAATTTTCATTTTAAGAAAATGTGATTACTTTTATTTTATTATTATTTCTCTATTTCACGGTGAACAGGCAATAAGGTCTGTAAAATACTACAGAAGTCAAGTTATTCATCAACATAATCATTCCATCTCATTGCATCAACCTATACTGACATTCATTGACATGATGACAAAGCAAATGCCCATTATTAACTGTGCATCAACATGTTTGTAAACAGTGTTCTGTAAGGAAAAAAATATATATGACAAAAGATCAGAGATTCATTTAGAATGTTCTAAAATCCATTAGACAGGGTTCAATAATGGCGACTCGTACACATCTCTTCTCTGCAAACACATTGAGAATAATTATCAATTTTGGATTTCTTACATTCTATTTCATGATTATGATAACTAAAGCAGATGGATAAAGAAGGAAAGCATCACCAAAATGAATAACCTCTTCATGATATCCGCAGACGATTTTTCAACTTCGGAATAGCCTCCATAATCGAATTAGATATGCAATATCGGCGATCGGTTCGGTAAGCGGTGGTCGTTAAGTGGCTGGGTGAAGCGCAATCATGACCCATTTCAAACATAATACCAAGCTTAAGAAAATAGTTTGTTTCTACTAACATAAAAACAAAATGTCATTCAAGCAATGCAAGACCTAGTTTGGTTGCAGTTTTTTCTTCTTCCTTCTTGCTCTCCAGAAGGTAGAGGAGCAAGGCTTTTCGCGTCATTGGTAAGAGAGACATAATAGGCGCTTTGAATGATATCCCCCTACCCAGAGAGGGTATGGGCGGAAAGGTTGCACTCAGCGTTGGCACTGTGCCCTGGGAATGTTGGGATGCTGCTGGCTATGAGCTTTTATCACGATTGACATCTCGGGTAGGGGATCTCACTTTAAAAAAGAAAATCTTCTCCGACCTGATGCTCATATGGTACAGTGTATATGTCATAATACTCTTCGTCAACGACAGCTTCGTCAACGACATCTTCGTGTTACCACAATGATTTTTCAGTTTGATTTACAGGGTATATTGTAATATCCTTTAGTTTGGAAGGTTCGTTAATACTTTTTGTGTGTGTAAATGGAACGCTCGTTTAGAGAGTGTTACTCCCCACCCCACCCCGAGTCCCTCCACGGCGCCGCCCTTGTTCCTAAATGCCATATCACTCTCTTAAATCTCCTGCCTAACCTGCTGCACTTTATCAGTTCTTGTTTCTATCCCAAGAGATACCATCTTCATAAAGCATCGAGAAACGTTAACTGACATGAAGGCTGTCACAAAAAAAATAAAGACATTTTGCTTGAACTTAAAAACACTAGAACTAGAGGTATTTTGGTCTATACACACACACACACACACACACACACCCACATGGACCGTTTATTTTGTTTTGATATGTTTGCTTTTCGGAAATAAAGGTTAAAAAAAACGATGGCAAATTATTCAAAATGGAATGGTATATATATCAGAATTTGACAGGTCCATAATTATTTAAAATGGACCTGTCTGTTATTCGTTATCTTAAAAACAAACTAGATTATATAGGTAAATAGATGTGTTGGATAAACGATGGTTTTAATTTCCTGTATTTCATCAGGTTTCATGAACGCTCTGATTATATCCTTCAGAGAAATGGATTTGGAAATATTAGATTATCTGGCTTAAAATCAAGCCACCTACTCTTAACCGCATATTATAGTAACACTTGGGATATTCTACGGTCGAATCGTGTGTCTTGGCGATCCACCCACGTCATGCAAATGGTAATTAAACATGAAATTTAAGATACTGATGGCTATAACTTCATAACAACTTTCATAACAATGGTTGTTCAGTCAAAAAGAATTATATAGAATAGATTAGATATTCGTTACTTCAGGAGTCTCTAGTAATAGCAACCACAACGATCAAACCGACATCTTCTTACTTACCAACGAAATCGATCTACATTTTTTATAAACTGCCTAGTTTTTCACCTTTCCGCGAATAAAAACCGCAGAGTATATCAAACCTAAATGTCAGCGTTTAATATCAATTGCACAGGGACAGAAAAAAGAGAAATAATTGGAAAGCATCAAGGATTAGAACGATATCATCAGCGATGAAAGCATGAAATTTTAACTAAAAAAATACAAGCAGTATGCTAGGGAAAAGTAAGATGATAAGGGTTGTAACAGATAATTTTCTGTCGGTGAATGAATTTATAGATTATTGGCAAGTCGCAATGTATATATATATTTTTTTTGCCTATTAAAAATAATTTTCGGGTAACTTATCAACAAACTCGATCTCACATCCCATTAATAATGGTGTAACGACGCACCTAAGAAGGGGCATAGGCGGGGTAATTTTGTAGGGTTTCCATGTTATAAAAAAAATATAAGTTTCAGCGAAAATTTTGTTAGTCACTGTTTTTGCAGTAAATCAAAAGACCGGACAATAGGGGATAAAAAATGAACTGTTAGTGGTCTTATCGAGTTTTAATTAATGAAATACATGTTTCGATTTCCCAATTGATCGGCTGCGTTAGACCATCAATGCAGGCGCTAGAGCACTGTCCATTTTTCAAACTTGCGTCCTCATAAGTTTGTCAGGAATAACATCTTATTGTAATAAACAGTTATCTTTGTTTCAGGTTTTAATCTATCATCCACTTCTCCCCAAAATAACTCCTACTTCCATTTATCTGGTGATGCCTTTGCTAATATGGCCTATAGTTACCTCTTATATCTTAAGGAACTTGGATGTACGTCATTTCGCAATAACCAATAAGGAAAGAGTTAATTAACAACCTATTCCGGTACAAGAAGGAGATAAACAAGAGCAATTATGAGGTTTTGATGCTTTGGAGTTTTTCTTCCGCCGAATGAAAGCCTTTGCCTATCTGGAGTTCCTGGAAACGAAGCAAACTAAGTAATCCAGATTTATCTCTGTATTATTTTGACCGTCAGAAGAAAAGAAAACAAGAACTTAAAGCATTTTAAACCTTGGCCTTATGCAAGACAGTGACGTGCACGACAGTTACATCCGGGCACTTTTAAAATATCTTCTCCTTCGTGTAATTATACATCTTGTTGTTGCTCAGAATCCTTAATCTAGAAATAAAATAATAATGAACTCGCATGAAGGAAGTATTGAAGATACACTTTAAAAAGATATTACACATATACAGTTTGAAAAGAGACGCACGGTACGATAGATATTCATTAAAACGGTAATCCTGTTTTGAATAAAGAAGAGGTTCAATTTAACCATGACTGTTAAGAATACATTACATGTATCAGGGCGCTTTGAGAAAATATTATATTTATACTAGTTAAAAGCCAAGATCCAGATGAAATAAATTAATCACAAGCCTTTATCCCTCTACATAAATGCTAATCAAAACAATTTGCCTGAGCGGAATAACTACAAATAATACACCTAATCTAGCAATGGAGTTCCACAATGATCCCTTATAGCATTTGAGTGAATCCGATCGTTTTAAATCCCACTATATTTAGACATGACAAAAACAAAAAAAGTCAGTTTCATGACCGAAATGTATCGGAGAGATTGTGAATTCGTAATAATGTTGCGCGTAACGGGAGAATCTACCAATTTCTCATATGAAGGTAAAGTCCATATACAATTTATATCCACTGCCAATGCCAAACCCATTTCAACGTTTTATTAAGATTTTATGAGTTCTCAATGGCATGGTGACAGTATACTTACTGGTAGCCATTAAAGAGAACGGGATGGATGAATACTGGCAACTGAAAGAGGGACTCAAAAGGTATTAGTCTTTTTCTGCAATGAAGTGCGTATCCGACCAGTTTCCTCACATCCTTCTCGATGTTCAGCGAAAATAATTTTCATCAAATAACCATTTCACCTTGAATGTTTCTGCTATACTGATATCTAGCTGACAGTTGTATACATAACCTCAAAACATATCACAAGTATTGGTTAACGCTAGCGGCGCAGCATGAGTCTCGTCATGTCGATTTTTTGCTGTCATTAGGCAAATCTTTTTCAAACTAGATGAAATATATAAAACGCTAACCTACCAAGCAGAGAGGGGGAGTAACTGGATTTGGTAACATTATCTTTCCATTTTCCCTCCTCCCTCTCATTTTCTTCCTTTTATTCGTTTTCTTCGTCGATTTCATTTTCGCAAATTTATGCGTTGGAGCACGTGCCCCCCCCCCCCCTCCTATTACCCCTTCTAAGCTACACCATTGGTTATAATAATGGGTTGGAACAAATAACACTTGATTGTATATCCATAAGCTACCTCTAGCTGTTAATCATTACAGAGTAGGCAAACAATATATCTGAAGTTACGAAAGAAACTGATATGAAGTGAATGTTAGCCCTACACATCGAGCTCGGATAGCCGTTTCTAGAGGATGATGTAAATCGCTTTTGATCAATAAGGACATCAATTCAAAAGAACATATTTGTTAAGGTTTCATGAACCTCCAATTCTATTACGGGCCTCCGACATGTTATTATTTCATCGAGTCTGCATACAGGGCAGGTGGTGTAGCTATTTATTCCTGGTTGTTACCCGTCTCCTATCTGTATTCATAGTCTCCACTCATTATCGATTCCCTGTTTCATCAATGTCAAGAATTAATATAGAACTGACTGATCACATCGTATACAACCTGTCGTCGCTCAACATTTTATTGAAACCCCTTGCCGTAGGCGTTTCTCGGTGAACTGTCTTATCTGGTGATACTGTGCGTCCCCCCAAAAATGTAAATTGTGTGTTACAATATGGTGAATGACCTCATGCATAAGTAATCCAATTCCGTGGCGTCAAAATATTAGCATGTAAACGACTGCCTGCTAGAAAAATTGAATTTAATTCCAACAAATATTTTAATCTCATTTTGCGTGAAAGAATAATTATAATTATGTTAGTCACTTTTTATGCAGTGCAGCAAGAATACAAATTAAATCGTCACGAAATTGTACAGACTGTGGTTAAAGGTGGTATTTCACTGAGCGGCGAATGCTT